GACGGCGACGAATGAAGAAAGAATCTGGGCATCCGACCGTGCCCCCCACCGCGGTGCGCCGACAAACATGGATCATGGATATGTGGATGTGCCCGTACGCTACGTACACCGTCGCGGTCGCGGCGGCGGCAGGCAGTAAAATATGAGTAGTGTAGCGGTGGGCAGAAAGCGGCGGCGTCCGCTAGATTCCATTCCAGCACCGCTGCCACCGGCGTCATGATTCGGCTGTGATTAGATGAGCCCGGCGTGGGCGAAACTCGAAAGCTCCGTGGCGATGATTGTTTTTTGTTGGGCCTGTTGGCTGTGACCAGAGGGAGTGCACGACGAGCCCGACGTGCTGGGCGCTGGTTAGATCGCTCCTGGACTCGCACCTCTCTTCGCGGCCGCACTCCATCCGCCTACCCCTGCCGCTAGCGAGGTATGTGTTACCGACGAGCTCCACACCGTCAACCTTTGCGGCTTCGAGCTCTGCGTCTACAAGTCTTCATTCGTCCAAGCAACAAGCAGACGCGATGTTGAAAGCACATGTTGCAATATTATGTTTCAAATGTTTCGGATATTTCAGATGTATATTGCAAGTGTTGTATATCGATGTTGCAAAAGTAGATCGGGGTGCTGCACATGTTGTAATGGCTATGCACGTATGTTTCAAGTGTATGTTGCAAATGTTTTATCCATTCGAGATGAATGTTGCAAGTGTTTTGTCTGTATGTTGCTAAAGTAGATATGGATGTTGCATATACATGCATGTTGCAAGCATATATTTCAAGTGTTTTCAGGTGTTTCATACGTATGCTTGTAAGTATTTCATCTGGATGTAAGGATGTTGCATATATTTGTATTGGTTTTCAAATGTTTTTTTAGCTATTTTCGTAAGTGTTTCAGACGCGTTTCAAATGTCTTCTTTTATATGTTGCAATTGTTGTATTTGTATGTTTCAAAAGTAGATCGGATTTTACAAATGGGATGCGCGTGGGAAACACCCGGTAGGAGGATGACGTCCGGAATGGCATGGGCCCACTCCGGTGCACTCTCTCACGAGCCTGACACGTTAGGCACTCGTTCGCTCTCTGCGCGCGGGCAGCGTCCGGATTAGACGTTCCTGTACTAGCAAGTCCGAACCCAAAAAGTTGGCGGACGTGCTCGCCTTGCTGTTGGCTCCAAGCACATTTGACTTCGAATTTCGCTGTGGCTGCCAGCTCTGTTGACGCCTTCATCGTCTTAATTCTGAAAACACGAACATGATTAACTACGGTCCAGTTTGTAGTTTGGACGTTTCTGTTGATGTTTAAATACAGGGAGTAAAGTTTAGATATGTCACATCGGGTGTCATGTGGGAATGTCGCATGGGGTATTCGGATATTAATAAAAATAAATAAATTATAGAATCCGTCAGTAATCCGCGAAACGAATTTATTAAGCCTAATTAATTCATCATTAGCATAGGTTTACTGTAGCATCACATTGTCGAATCATTGCCTAATTAGGCTTAAAAAATTCGTGTCACAAATTAGTCGCAATCTGTGTAATTAGTTATTTTTTTAGTTTATATTTAATACTCCATGTATGTGTCATACATCCGATGTAATATGAAGTATATTTTAGGGGGAGAAATAAAAAAAAGGCCTAATTTTTCTTCGCGGGTGTTTTCAAAAGGATTTGATCATCAGTAGTTCAAGTTCAAGTTCAGAGGGCGGGCAACCGGGCAGGTACAGCGCGCTGGGGCATCGGCTAGCTCATCAAGTGGGCCGGAACAGAGAGTGCACGTGTACTGCACAGTTGCATCGCCTCGTCACCAGAAAAAAGGTCATGTTCGTGTTAGGTGCACTATAATGCAATGCAACATTCCTCTATTCAAAATAAACTACCGCGAGGAGAGATAGTATCAGGTAATTGACCGACTGGCTGCTGGTTAAAAAAATAATTTCAAAATGCTCTGTTACGCCTTCAGCGTCTGAATTCTGAAAACACGAACATGATTGACTACAGGTCCAGTTTGTAGTTGGACGTTTAAGGTGGTGTTTAAATACAAGAAGTAAAGTTTAGATATGTCACATCGGGTGTTACGTGGGGATGTCGTATTGGGTGTTCGGATACTAATAAAAAAATAAATTACAGAATCCGTCAGTAATCCGCGAAACAAATTTATTAAGCCTAATTAATCCATCGTTAGCATAAGTTTACTGTAGCATCATATTGTCAAGTCATTAACTAATTAGGCTTAAAAAAATCGTCTCGTAAATTAGTCACAATCTATGTAATTAGCTATTTTTTAAGTCTATATTTAATACTCAATGTAGCTGTCAAACATCCGATGTGATAAGAAGTAAATTTTAGTAGGAGAAACTAGAAAAAAAAAGGCCTCACTTTTCTTCGCGGGTGTTTTCAAAAGGATTTGATCATCAGTAGTTCAAGTTCAAGTTCAGAGGGCGGGCAACCGGGCAGGTACAACGCGCTGGGGCATCGGCTAGCTCATCAAGTGGGCCGGAACAGAGAGTGCACGTGTACTGCACAGTTGCATCGCCTCGTCACCGGAAAAAGGTCATGTTCGTGTTAGGTGCACTATAATGCAATGCAACATTCCTCTATTCAAAATAAACTACCGCGAGGAGAGATAGTATCAGGTGATTGACCGACTGGCTGCTGGTTAAAAAATAATTTCAAAATGCTCGTATAAAAAAAATTTGACATTACTCGCTTTTGATCATTTTTACAGGCCACACGATGACACGAACATAGTAATTTCTTCGGCTAATCAGTAGCAATTACAGTTACAGCCTCCTCGCTGAGATCCACGAAATCAGCGTAGGCGTACCGCTTCGCAGCTGCAGTACTGGCAGGCAGTTTAAAAAGCGAGATGGACAAGGTAATCAACACTTAATAAGAATATTTCTAAAAAAAACACTTAATAAGAGTAAATAAAATTAGCAGATGCACGATGGATTGCTGGTGAGGTGGTGCACCGTCATCTCTGAACATTTTCGTCGAGCGGCAGCCAATCAGCGCCTGCACTGCAGAGTGTTAAAGTGTGTACGGATGGACGCAACTACACTGCATGGATGGACATGGCAACATGACACCAACGGTTAATAATGTCTTAATGACCTTATTAAATTTCTTCCGCTCAATTATGTTACTACGGCTGCTTTTATTACCGCTAATGTTGGCACCCACACGCTAACGTTCAGGTTCGTGGCTGGAGCAATAAGGTCTGTTAATGGTCGCTTACGGGAGAGGTATTTGTGTTGTGCGTTTCAATACATTCGAGGACACAACGTAACGGAAATGTAGCGTAATACTCCCGTACCTAATGCTGTAGCATCCAATTCCAGCTTTTCGTCATGTTCGTTTGAGCTTGTTTAGCTAATAAGCTATGACTGAAAGTACCGTTGACTAGTTTAGTGCGAGTGAAAAATACTGTTTATTACTCCCTCCATTCCAAATTGTAAGTCATTCCAAGAATCTTGGAGAGTCAAAGTTTTTCAAGTTTGACCAAATTTATATAACAAAATAATAATATTTATCATACCAAGTAAGTATCATTAGATTCTTCATTAGTTATATTTTCATATTATACCTATTTGATGTCATCAATTTTTGTGTGGACTCCTCTCCACCCTCCGTCTTCCCTTGCCTCACTCGTCTCATCTACTCCCGCTCCAGTATCTCCGTACCTTCCCCTTCCTCGCCGTCGTGCCACCCACCAAACCACACCTGAACTGCCCATTTTCCTTTTCGCCTCGCGTGAGGCGTAACCGGTGTGTCGTGGGGGGGCAGGCAGTTTCGGCCGGGGGAAGCAAAGCGCGGAACCGGGAGCGTTTCAGAATTCAGACCGGCCGGCCGTTCCTGCTGCCACGGGGACGGCGCCGCGAGATCGCATTGTGGCGGACGCGGCCGGGTCACCGCGGCATTTCGCTCGTGGGGTCCGTGGCTGCTCGAGGCGTTTGCTTGTTTGTTTCTCTTCTCTCTTGCGGCGGGCGGCGGGCGCGACTCGAGGTTGGTGGTCAGCCAAATACGACGAGCGAACAGGCTGTTTACCCTTACGTACACGAAGACGACCAGATAGACCAGACCAGCAGCGAGTAGAGAGTAGAGACGCCCCGCGAGGCGAGACCTGGCAGTGGGCAGTGGCAGGGGATCACCACCCTTCACCGCAGAATGGCAGCGCCGCGTCCCGGGCAGGCTCGCCGCGGCGTCGTGTACCGGAGGCGCAGATGGCCGTTGGCGCTGGCGGGGACTGGTCCCACCCCTACGTCGCCCCGCCTTCCCGTTCCGTGTCGCTTTCTCCCCCGTGGCCGCGACAGCTGCCGCCAATTAATTATTCGCCCACCATTAAAACACCTCCGCCCCATTCGCGACCTCCTGCTCCTCCTCCCCAACTCCTCTCCACCCTCCGTCTTCCCTTGCCTCACTCGTCTCATCTACTCCCGCTCCAGTATCTCCGTACCTTCCCCTTCCTCGCCGTCGTGCCACCCACCAAACCACACCTGAACTGCCCATTTTCCTTTTCGCCTCGCGTGAGGCGTAACCGGTGTGTCGTGGGGGGGCAGGCAGTTTCGGCCGGGGGAAGCAAAGCGCGGAACCGGGAGCGTTTCAGAATTCAGACCGGCCGGCCGTTCCTGCTGCCACGGGGACGGCGCCGCGAGATCGCATTGTGGCGGACGCGGCCGGGTCACCGCGGCATTTCGCTCGTGGGGTCCGTGGCTGCTCGAGGCGTTTGCTTGTTTGTTTCTCTTCTCTCTTGCGGCGGGCGGCGGGCGCGACTCGAGGTTGGTGGCCGGCCAAGCGCAGCGCCTCCTTTCGCGGCCGCTTTTCCGGAGCGGCCGCTGCTGCTGGTGACTGTTAGGGATGCGCCTTGCCTTTCCGCCGCCTCGGCGTGGCGTGATTCCGAAGCGTCGCCGGGATTGTACTGGTTTCTTCTGGTAGATATAGAAAAACACCGCATCCTTTTGGAGGCCTCGTCCCAGGCTCACAGCTGACACGAAGGTTCCTCCCGGACAATGCCGAGCATCCGAGCTCCGGCGTCCAAGCAGACGGCCACGCTACAGGTACGCCATTCCCATTCTCCTGTGGGACGGTCCTAGTCACTGGGAAACTGCATTCTGGCTGCTTAATTGCTAGCATTGCTCACCCGATGCATTCCAATTGCAGGTGGCTGTCAAGTGCAGGCCATTGACCGACACCGAGCAGCGGCGCTCGCGGCATATCATACAGGTCATTGATGACAAGGTACCCGTGCTCTGCCGTGTTGATGCGCTTGCTCTTTGCAATTGGTGGTGGCAATGTGATGGTTTACACGCGTTTCTCTCCTAGACTGTGGTTGTGCTGGACCCTGATCTGTCAAAGGACTACCTGGACCTCATCCAGAACCGGACCAAGGAAAGGAGATATACCTTCGATCATGTGTACGCGCCTGGATGCTCCAATTCGGTATGTGATAGTGAAGTTTGCTCTGCTCTCATCAGTAATTGCTTGGCCTGCTTTTGACATTAGGCTCAGTCGCTCACATGCTCAACATAGCAGCTTTCCGGAATCTTCATCTCAGCTTGGATTCTTCCCTAACTTCTATTCTCTTGCTTCCCTAGAAATGATGCTCTGGAAGACCAAACCACCAACTAATTTCATTATGAATTGCTTGAATCAGGAGTGTCTCGTGCTTTGGACAGTTGTTAAAACAACACTACGGAGTACTGACATATACAAACTACTAGTTGCTGGTACTAGCCTACTAGGGGTATCTCGTGCTTGGACAGTTGGAGCAATACTACGGCATCTAAAGCGCCAATGAGCTGCTTTTGTTCAGTCTGTACTGTTGCTAACCCGTGATGTAGACTTACTGTTAGGTCTCTACCTAATGCAGGCGTCTTCAAAGCAGTAGTTTTGTTGTACTATTGCATATATTGAATTATTGATCACTATGATCCTTAAACTTCAATTCAGATGTTTCTTCCAGTGAATGTATACCAGGACTGGAAGCATGTGAAACTGACCCAACAAATCAGTTGCTTGAACTCTTGTTAATCTTCTAGGTTTACGAATTAATTATATTATTTTTATTTGTGAGGACAGAATAGTACAAGGAATAGAGATAAATTGTTTATTCTTATAGTATAAGATGTAGGCTAATCCTACTCTGGGTGATTACACACTTGTGCTTGCCAGCTAATTACTGGTAACAAGTCACATGTTCTTGTACTTTCCACACCATCACATTTTCATTATTGTGATCCTATTCATGTTCAGGACGTGTATAAGAATATATCCTCTACAATTGCTGGTGTAGTCCAAGGCCTTAATGCAACAGTCTTTGCTTATGGTTCTACTGGAAGGTATCAGTTAACTGTATTGTGTTACTTGCTGTCTGCTTAACATTGTGTGATATGCTGCTTCGCAGTTCAGAATGTTTTCTATGTTAATATTATTAATAACCATGGCGCACATTTCAAATTGCAACCCCCAATAAAAAGTATAGAGTTTGGTATGGAATTTCATTCTGATATGCCCATTGAAGTTTAGCACATTATACTTGCCTTTTGTGTTTATAATACTAATACTTTGTAGTAATGTGATGCATGGCTTGCACTGTATTTATTGAAATTTCATCATATTCAATCAAAATAATCATGGCTGTCTTAGAATGCATTCACATTACATTGGTTATGTTTATTTAAATCTATAACCTAATCCTGTTTAATGTTAACTAAATTAGCTTGTTGTTACTGATGTTTTTTTCCAGTTAACTTATATATTAGGTTTCTATCCTCCTTTTCTTCCTCATAACATAGTTTAAACTGTGGCAGTGCTACTCTTTGAAACTTTCATCATGGAAAAACAGCTAAACCATATGTCCACATTCATCAATGGGACATTTAGTAAATGTCAGATAGCGTATTTCCTGATCTGTTGTACTCCCTCCGTCCAGGAACGATAAGCGTATTCTAACCATGGAAAAGTCATATAAAGTAGATTTTGAACCTTAATTTCTCTTACAATATGTTGTTAGTTTTAGTTTCTAAAAATTCAATATCATCTCAAAGACACTTTGAAAGTCCTAAACTTGTACATAATTTGACCAATCTTTGGTCAAAATTTATAAAATTTGCCTTTGTTTTGAACAAAATACACTTATCATTCATGGACGCAGGGAGTACCTCTTTGGTACTAGTTTCGAAGTTAAATGTCCATCTTAATGTTTTGTTTGATATATATTTATTTTTGTGGTTGTACAGTGGCAAAACTTACACTATGATTGGAACCCATAGCGATCCTGGTCTGATGGTTCTTAGCTTCCGTACAATTTTTGAGCTGATAAAAAAGGATGACAGTAAGGATGCATTTGAAGTTTCATGTTCATATCTGGAAGTGTACAATGAGGTATTACCTCTGTTCCTTTTGTAGGATTTGAAAGAGCTAAACATCATAAATTGTGACAATTATTATTGAATTATATACATGTTTAGTGTATGCAGTTACAATTGATTTTTATTTTGTAATTCTAACATGACATTGATTTTGAAGCAATTGGTTATACATTGTAAGAGAAATCGACAGTCAGCGTGCATTTCTAAAGACATTTCCAAATCCTAATACGCCTTAAAGGAAAGAAACCGATGGAGTAGGTGCCTAGGCACTGGGCGGTGTTGCACTGCTCGCCTAGCACGTAGGCATTTTGTCTAGGCTATTTCCCTCTCTAGAGATGTTTTCGACTTGATGTATGCATAAAACTGGGACAAAATGGAAATGAAGAAAGATAAACTACGATCATATTACTTATGGATGCATGATAATACCATTTTTTCTATTTTAGTATGCTAAATTACCTTTATTTAAAAAACTCGACCCTCGGATGGCTAGACAGCCCCGGAGCTTTGCGCTTTAAGAAGGAGACCTCTCACGCAGGTCGAGAAAACCCCCCGAACCCCATACCCTGCTTGCTCACAGGGGCCCGTAACCCTGTGAGTGGGCCGGTCCGCAACCTGTGCTTTGGGAAACGCAGGGCAGGCGAGGGGATTTTTTTCCCCTCCGGCTAGCATAAATCGCCCTTGAGGGGGTAGTGTTACTCTAACAGGCCATAAAATGTACAAGCTGCTACCAATGACTAGACATGCCTATGCGCTAGGCAGACAGTCAGCCATTTATAACTGTACAGTGTATACCTTTCTGAAATAGTACCGTTGGTATTTTCCTGAATTCTAGGTTATCTATGATTTGCTTGAGAGATCCTCTGGACACCTGGAGCTTCGAGAAGATCCTGAGCATGGCATAATAGTTGCTGGATTGAGAAGCATTAAGGTATTGTAATACTTTTGCTTTCTGTTATTTTTTCATGTTAATGAGAATTAAATACCATCTGCTAGTGGAAGTTGCCTCTCTTTCTACTTTTTAACTTTTTGTATCTACTTTATTTTAACACCCAACTTTATCGGCATCTTTTCTATGACTGGAACATTGTCACTGCATTTAAGTAGCTGACAGAGAGGACCTGAACCCTTGATACATATATTGTACTTGTAATATGTGATATATAATTTTCCATTCTTAAGAAATTAATGTCTTGCCATGACAGCCTCTTTTTTTTTCTTTAAAAGAACTATTTGATCGTGCCTTTCATTTATGCGAAGGGACGTGTTTTCCCAAATTCTGTCATTGTTCAGTTAGATATTATACACCATGCTGTACTGTAAAAATGAACACACCACTGTCTCATTTTTCTTCAATGTGAAAGCATGATTGAACTTCAATCTTATTTTGTTGTTAGGTTCACTCCGCAGATAGGATTCTTGAGCTGTTGAACATAGGCAACAGTAGGCGCAAGACAGAGAGTACAGAAGCAAATGCTACTTCTTCACGGTAATTTAATAATTTTCAAATCTTCACCCTTTTCTAAATGTTCATGCCTTCATTACTTATGTATTTTGAAGGATTTATTGATATCTTGCATGCCAGGACTTCTTCCTGCTAGGCTGTTTCCACAATAGTATCAGGGATAGAAATTCCCACAATAATCTGTAAAAATAGAAAATCCTAGATATTGTAACATGGGAGAAAAGAAGGATGTACACACTATGATGTTAGTGCCTCCAGATAAGAGCAAATTATACAAATATTGATGGATATAGTTCTAAAACAAGTATGGTAGTTTTTAAATCGTAGATATTGGATATAACCACATCTATTGTCATATCTAGCAATGTGATTCTAATCATTTATTCTTTTTTTCATTTGTCAAGGTCACATGCTGTACTTGAGATTACTGTAAAGCGAAACCAGAAAGGCCAATATGGTAACCAAGTTCTTCGTGGAAAGCTTGCCTTGGTTGATCTTGCGGGCAGGTAATAGAAACTCTGTTTCATTGCTAGTGTAATTCATTCTTGTGGAAAAAGCAAGTTGTAATGTTACATTCTGTGAGCAGTGAGAGGGCCTCCGAAACAAACAACTTTGGGCAAAAGCTTAGAGATGGAGCCAACATCAATCGGTCACTCCTAGCATTAGCAAATTGCATCAATGCCCTAGGCAAGCAAAACAAGAAAGGTCTTGCCTATGTTCCCTATCGCAACAGGTATGTTTCAAGTATTGGTTTTACTCAAATGGGACTTTTTTTTTAATTTATGTGGTAGCTAATAGCAGCTATTTGCAGTAAATTAACTCGAATTCTAAAGGATGGGCTGTCTGGTAATTCTCGAACTGTTATGGTTGCTACAATATCACCAGCTGATGATCAGTATCATCACACAACAAATACACTCAAGTACGCAGACCGTGCTAAAGAGATAAAAACACATGTCCATGTAAGTGTTCGTTTCTTTTGGTTGAATCATAGGTTTATAAGATTCAAATTAAGAGGTCAAACAGCAGATTTTATGCCTATTGCTTAATCATAAGCATTTCCAATCCAATAGAACTTCTGAATGTCACCTATTTTGTTCTTTGTAGAAAAATATTGGAACACTTGACACTCATGTTGAAGACTATCAGAGGATGATCGACAATCTTCAGGTTTGCCATAATGAGAAACAAATTATCTAACTCAAATTTCATCATAGTTAAATGTGTCACGTGATTTTGCAGGTTGAGGTTTCTCAGTTGAAAAGGAATTAGCTGAGAAGGAGCATCAATTAAGTATAAAGCCTACTGAAAAGCTGCAGATAGTGAGCTATCTTGGTTAAATGTCTTGAGCCAGGAAACTGGTGAGAATGTTCAAGAACGCATAAATCTTCAGAAGGCCCTGTTTGAACTCGAAGAAACCAATAAGCGCAACCGAATGGAACTCCAGCATCTTGACGATTCTATTGCAAGGCATCAGGTTGGTGATCAGTTTCAAACAAGTTCCTATTCTGCAGATCTTAGTACACCAAAAGGCACCTTTGTGTTATTCCCAACAACCTCTTTGGAGACCTTTTCCTTCCCCTTTCTTTCTCTGGTAAAACTGTGTGCGGTTTATAGGACATCCTAAGCTATTGATATCTTTAGCCCTTCAAAACAGACTGCCAAGGCAGTGGTTTGAAATCTACAGTATCATATAATGGAGTAACAGTAGATACCTTTTGTATATCATTGTTGACAACAGTCTTGCAACAGAACACTGAGAATTTTGTGTTCAGGTGAAAGAAATGGACTCTACAGTTCTCCAAGCTTTAACATCAAGGAGACAAGTTATTCTTGACAACATCCGTGATAATGATGAAGCTGGTTCTGGATATAGAAAGGTGTTAATCTTATTCTGTTTACTTTTGTTTAGTTGCCTGAATGCCAAACTTATATGGAGATTTTTCCCCTTAGGACATTGAAATGAATGAGAGTCGCAGGCGACAACTCCAGGATATGATTGAGGAAGCCGTCAGTAACAATGGCAATAAAACCTACCTGCACATTCTCAGCCAGTACAGACTACTTGTAAGTAACCCACAGCTTTTGTCTTTCCCGATTTAAGCAATAAGAATGTGACACCTCACATGCTATATATGTGTAATTTACTCTTTAGGGAATGACTAATGCTGAGCTTCAAATTGAGATGGCTATGCGGGATCAAGTTATACATAATCAGAGGGAAGCTCTAAGGAGCCTGTGGAACATTCTCTATGGAACGGGGCTAAACCAGAAGCAGATTCTTAAATTGGCTGCAAAGCAAGGATTAACCATAGAAGGCTGTCCTTTGCCTAGCTCAAGCCCAGATGTTACCACACCACCTTCCTTTCCACCTCATAGAAGATTTCCATCGTTTATGTCATTTCCTAGTCCGCAGTCAGAGCCTTATTCTCCGTCTGCTTGCTTTTTCCAACATGGTTTCAGCACTATGTCTTTGCTGAAAAATCAGCATGAGACACCCACCATATGTAGGCAGGAGCACCTCAGTTCTTACTACATGATGTCTGGCTGCTCGCCTTACTCTGGTGATGGAAAACAGTGGTCAAGTGGAAGACCTATGACATTCTTTTCTACTCCAGAAAAACCTAAGGAGGTGAGCAGTGTATATCGGGAAACAGAGAATGCACAGTCCCAACACAACAAGGAACATTCTGGCAGTCATGATTTCAGTCTGCATAGAAAGGTAAACTGTTTCCTTTACACAAGCTGCTAAAAAAAGTGTCATGATGCATATCACGCCATGTAAACATAGTCCGGCTATCAAGAATCCAAAGGGAAAAAAGACAAAAAAAAGAGGCATCGCCTTACTATTATTTGATTAGTGTTCTTTTTCGGATTGCTTAATTTCTTAACTTTTTGCATTGTATCTAAATTCTAAGCCGCCTCCACTGTGCAGTGATCCTCAGAACACACATACTGATTAATGTTGCTCCCAAGTAAAACACGTTACCAAACATGGAATGGCTCCAGCTTTCTAGAATCAAATGAGTTTTAAATATGGAGAATCAAATATTGGACTTGCCATAATTGTTAGTCCCTCCATAGCACTAATAGACTTCAATGAAAGATGGCTTACAAAGAGTTACCATATAAACATTATGCTTTATGACTACTAATTTGTAGATACAAGAATATTCACACATGTTCCTTGAGTGTCAAAATGGCAAATCGTTCTATGCAACTTACTGATGGATTGACATGGGAAATTACTATTTTATCACGTGTGACCACAGAAAATGATGCTTGCGGACGTAGCTCATAATAAATAGATTTGCCATCGAAATGTAAAGATTGTTTGACCCTCACCATGGATTTTTTTTTTTTTTTGAAAGTAGACCCTCACCATGGAGACCTTTGAGTTTGCATGAGCTGACCAAGATTTTTCTTGCTGTGCAGGATCTGTGGCCCATGGAAAGGAAGTGACGGGCCTCGAGATCCTTCTGGTACACAAACATCTGTGATGGCTACAATGTGGCCTGTCTGATGTTCCTAACCTTGGTCGCCGTGTGCACCATCTTCTGTCTACCGCCGACGTTCCCGGGGTTCCTGAGATCTGAAGAGATGTTCGCCGGAGCTGTTGCCTCGCCCACTGCCATTTTGATTGATCCTGCTGACATTCCTCACTCCAAGCCTGTACAGTAGTAGATGCTAGTCAGTCCTCTCAAGATATCCTCCTTTTCCTAACTTTGTAAAGTGGTTGCTGGGGGGTGAATCTGATTTTTGGACCAAGAACTCTGTAAATTTGCCGCGGTTCTCGCCCTTCTTCAGTAAATCCAATGGTAAAGCTTTCACGACTGATCTTCAGGTTCAGTATACTAATCCTCTGCATGCTGGCAAGTATGACAAGCTGCCTGAGGCCAAATCTACCGGGTGACGATCAGGATAGAGTTGGGTGATTGATGAACAGGCTATGGCTACAGTAGCATGTGGTAGGAATAGGATCTCAATCTCCCCCTCCAGATCATTGAATAAGCCCTGCTGAGGCTCACCTGCTCTGGAGACCACATTCAAGCAGGAGCAGCGCATGGTCCTCCTCTCTCATTCATGTGTCTGCTTCTGCACAACAGTTGTGCTGAATGCTACGCTGGAGCGGCGGCAGGCAGCCGAGGCCGCACGGCGCGCACATCGCAGTCGCATTACACGTTCCACATGCCAGGCTTGTAGCTTGTCGCCGGAGCAACCAAAGGGCTGGCTCCGTCTGACATTCCGTTCCGGTTCCGGGGGCTTTGATATTGCTACGATGGCGACGTGGCGTGGCGTGACAATGAGTGACACATCCTGCTCGCTGCAACTTTTTTGGCTGCGGCTTTTCGCTGTGGCTGCAAGAACTGAACTGTCGTGTACTGTACATAACACTAAAAACAGCTGCAGCTGCAGCCAAATAAGCTGCAGCGAGTGGAGTAGTGAACTGTCATGTACTGTGCCGTGGTAAGATGATAGTGTGAGATACTAGGCATTTCCGTAAAACACAAGCGAGTGGAGTAGTGTACACGTCAGCTGGCACGTACAGTAGACTGTGGGCTCTGGCAGGCAACTAGCCTCGTCTGGCAGGCGTGCGGTGCTGCGTCGGAAGCAAGAGCAGCGAGACCACTGGTGGCCTGGTGGGTGAGGGCGTCAGGTTGAGGCCCGTGGTGGAAAACGGCTGACGGTGATGCTGATTTGCTATGAGAGAAAAATATTGTTATCTCGCTAAGCCAACGGGGCCAAAGGCTCAGGATCAGAAGAAGGCGTGCAAGCCGTGACCTACAGACCTACAGACCTCAGACCTGCAACTGCATACTGGGCAGCAGAGGCCAATGCTTTCCGGCCCTGCCCTGCCCATGCCGCTGCCGGAGTCTACAGGACTGCACTGACAGCTCGTGGGGTACGGCAACTCGCAGCATTTTTATCTCTTGCTAATGCTAATGCTACTTCAACTGTCATTGGAGGAGGTCGTCATGGTTTCACGTGACGAGGGAGTGCATGTATACATGCCATGGCCATGTCTGGCTTGGTGTTTAGGGCCTCTTTGGTACAGCTTATGTCGGCTTTGGTTTCATCTATTTTGCGTAAATCGAGGCACTGTAGCGTGAAGCTGTTTTGTAAGCCGGAGTTAAAATGAACTAGAAGCCGGAAAAAACCAGTTTTTCTGGCTTCACCGGCTTTGGCTTCACCGGTGAAGCCGTTTTGGACGAGCCGTGCCAAAGAGGCCCTTGATAAGTTGTTCCGAAGATTTTTCGTAGCGGACTTGTGTTCGTGCCCGATTACACATGGTCCAAAGTCCAAAACAACCTGAAACCAAGTGGTAGTGGAGCTCTCCAGCATGCAAAAATATATGGCTAGCCAGAAGCCAGGCCAGACGGGCAATCAAGGCTGCTGCATGCTCTACCCTCTGTGCAGCTGTTGCATGCTGTGGCTGTATGTGCATGTCTTTGTCCAAACAACCCGTTTGAGACTTTGAGAGCAGTAGTAGCGATTGGCAAGCGTGTGATGGATGAACGAAGAAGAAGAAGAAGCCAAAGCAGCGATTCGATCGAGAGGCGCATGCAGACGAAGACGAAGGTTTCATTTCATGTAAGGGCGAGCCCCTGTTTGATTTGGACGCATGCCTTCGTCCTCGTGTGATCGTGTCAACCTTCAACTCATATATGTAGGATCGATTCAGGTTCAAGGCTTTCTCGATGCAGGACTTTTACATGGATGAAACCCCAGTAATTTAGGTAGGTAGGTTTCAACAGGGGAAAAGGTTTTCTTTGTTCCAAACAGGGTCATTGAACATCGATCCTTGAACTCGTGAAGGTTTCTTTGCTTTCCCAGTACTGAAATAACATATAGTTTTACGTGAATCAGCTCAATCTTCCCAAGCGATTACATATAGAGAAATAAAGTAGAACAAATTACTACAAAGGAGGGCAAACTAATTAGGTTCATGGAAGAAGTACAAATATTTTACTACTGGTTCATGGAAGAAGTACAAATATTTTACGTAGACGAGACAAATCTTAGGTCCAAAACATGTACGGCCGTCCTCATCTCGTGTTTCTGCTGTACTACCCGTAAACGTGAGAGGGGACAGAATGCACCCCACTCGGGACGTGCAATGCAAGTGGCGCCGGCCCTAACGCCGAACGAAGCCAAGACTCTTTTATTTCATTTCATTCAGGCCTATGCATGCTTAGCAGCTAGCGCTACTAGATGTTTACGCTACGATCAAACACTACGCTATCACCCCCTTGTTTACGTCCCTCTAGGACCTAGCTAGGCTCTCTGATAATCAGCACCCTAACCTAGGCCGTGCAATTCATCATTTCGTTGAAAAACGCTGGCCAAGCCCCCAACACTCCTAGTAGGGTTTACTAGCTAGTCGTATACTACCAATATAGTCAATCAACAATCACCACAGATTTTACTCGTGTCACAGCCACAAATTTCGCTTGCTAGAACAATATAGGACACGGATAGATACATGCTGCTAGCTGAAAGAAACTGCATGCATCGATCATTTGCTGTCCTGCTAGCTGAAGGCCGACCGAAGCGCCGGCCCGCGGACCGCCTCATGAGTCGCGCTGAGCACGAGCAGACCGTCAAAATTTCGATCGATGGACGCGACGTGGGTGTGACCACCAATCTAGGACGCTTTGGAACCACCCGTTTTTCCACGGTCGCCTAGCACAGGAGCAGCGAGAATCTCTCCTCTCCTTTCACCGCACCCGTCTCAAGGCAGGAGGAACCAAGGAAACTCGTCACATGGGGGGCGTGGGGGCAAAGGGCCTTGGCGGCTTGGCCCTTTCCACCGGTCCGGTGCAGATCGAGGCCTCAAAATTGCACCACGATTCGTACCCACACTCCGATCGCGGATCGCCTTCCTCTGCCGAACTCGTGCAAGGTTTAGGATTTGAGATTTGATCCCGACGAGCTTTTGTGCTTTTGTGCCTTTGTCGTGTTAGGCCCGGTTTCTTTTTATGCCCCATCCAGGGCTTTCGCTAGCTACCTCACCGTCACCGGACATCGGCGCCTGCAGGTGCAGTGTGCCTATACAGTTGTAGGCTTTCATGCTCATGTGCTCCTGTCCTGTCTAGCCTAGCCTGTAGGTAGCGTGGGTGTGTCTACAACCCCCTGCCCTGCCCGAGCCGCTGATCAAAATGTGTCTTCAGTCTTCACCTTCACCAGCTTAACAATCGATTGGCAACGGACAAAGTTGAGGTTCTTTTTGGTGTCGCTACTAGTGTAGCTCTCCTTTTTGCTACTGACAATGACCAGTGTGTTCCTTTTCTCTTTGTTTAGGCGAGAAAAAAATAGAAAGGTGTGTTGTTTGGTGAGTGTTAGTGCAGCTGATGCAAGGTTGCAAACACAGAAAAGATGGATGATTCAGCCTAGTAGCGAGTAGAGTGACGACGATATTGCGTCTCGCTCCTGTCATCAGACATTCAGCTCCATTGGAACACCGAACACAGGAATAAGAAAAAAAAACATGAATATTTTACAGGAAAGCAGTTACAAAATGGAGGATTAGAAAAAACAAGAATTTTAGAGGAAAGAACATTTGGATAGGCCACAGTAAAATAGGATTTTTACCAAGAGGTTTGAGTGCGTGCTATATTTCACGTATTTTTTTCTCTAAAGTTGTTGTCAAAGGACATTTTTCTACACTATTCATATATATACTCCGATCCAATCCTGCGAACCAGAGGCATAGAAGCAATTTCTAACCCTATTTTTTTTTCCTCCATTTTTCTTACAACCAAAGCAGGCCTCAAGAGAGGTCAATGCATACCCGTGTTCTCATCACTTCAACTGCGATGCGAAGAACACAAGTATGTACGGAGTATTGTTTTTAACACTAGTTAAACTACAGTTTAATACCTGACGACTCCCTCCGTTTCAAAAAGAATGTGAATCTCACTTTTCAAGGTTAAATAAGTGTAGATGTAAAATTACATATTTGTCCCTTGTTTAATTGGGTGTTCTAGAGTGTTTTTCAGAAGTTTAGAATATTTATACGCATGGATGGATAGGGTATGGTAATGTTTTAGTCATGCAATAATTTTTTTAATAGGTGGATCCCACTAAAAAAGTTAATTTTAACTCCACGATTACATTCATTTCGGGACCGGGCCTGTTCGGCTGGTATTAAAGCCGGCTGAAGCTGTTTTGTTACGAGAGAAAATACTGTAGATTCTAGCCGAAGAACATGTCCAGATTTGAACTCTAGGCCTTGTTTAGATTCCAAGTTTTTTTACTCTCTTTCCATCACATCAAATCTTTGGACACATGCATGAAGTATTAAATGTAGATAAAAAAATAACTAATTACACAGTTTGATCGTAAATTACGAGACGAATCTTTTAAACCTAGTTAGACCATGATTGGACAATAATTATCAAATGCAAACGAAAATGCTACAGTGTCAAATACTGATTCCTAACACTCATCTAACCAAGGCCCTAACATTACCTTGTTTGTGGGACGAAGGTAGTACTAGTACGGCAGTCAAAACAGTGTTTTTCACTGACCGCCTCGTAGCAGTGGCAGTCTCCCTCTCCCACTACGAGGCGCATAATTAAGCTCCGACGAGAATAGAACAGCGAGTACGCTGGCACATCTTGCAGCGACGCGCCGAAGAAGAAGGGTACGGGTACGGCTTCCGGCTGTGCCCCAGCAGCCACCAGCCAGCGAGTGCTGCTCCACCGCTTCGGCGATTTGTTGACTGTGTCCTCTAGCGTCACAAGTAGCAGCTGGGGCCCACACTGTCAGTCAGGGCAGCAACGAAGGCAGCAGGAGGATAGGGACAGGAGTCAGGGGTGCACTACCCCTACCCCTACAAGGCTACAATGATGATGTGTCGTCGCCTTGTTTGCCCAGCGACGGGGAGCAAGCGTGCTCGAGTACTACTGGAAGAAACCTGCCAACCAATGAAACAGAACAGCACTGCACGCAGGGAGGAAACGAATGATCACCACCTGGCCGAATGTCCCAAACCGTAAGCATGCAAGATGATCGATCGTGGAGCACTGCACTGCACTGCACGCGCCATCATCGAGCTGTGCGTGCATCGGTGCATGCAAGAAGTTGACTGTGCCGCGTCAGGGGAAATTGATGGAACGTGGGCCGGACCGGAGGGACGCAGAGCTGAACGCCACGTACAGTACGGCGTTTCACTCTCCTCTCCTGTCGTCGCCTCGCCGCCGCTGCTTCTTTCCTTCCCGCGAGCCGCGAGTCAACATTGTTGGTGAGGATATGAAATTGCTGGTGTTAATGTACCCTTAATTACGGTATGGTATGGATATTAGATACTCCTACGCAGGCGCGTAATAAAAAGGCTGAGAAAATACAAGCAGTCGGACAAGACTGGTACCGGTGCAGTAGTAGTGTACTGCACCGCGGAAAGATCTCGAGCCGAGCAGGCGGATTGATTCACTCCGGCTGCAGGGTCAAGTTTGCAGGTGAGCCATGAAGCGTAGCTCTGAATGCACCACCGGTATACAACGCACCGACGGTCGCCATACGGCTCGCAGCAACGAATGGAAGGCACGCGTAGCTGGGGGCACTGCAGGTACCAGCAGCACAGTGTCGATACTTACTCGTAGACCGCACACGTACGCAGTCGTACGGCCCCGTTCGGCTCGCTGAATCTTGGCTGAAACTGACTGAAAACACTGTTCTGACTGAATTGCTGTGAGAGAAAAACACTATTTTGACTGAAAAAACAAACCAAACAAATCGAATATGGAGTAATCCGGGACGCAGCGATACGGAATCCTATTCGTATGGAACCCCACGCACGCGCGTTGATGGGGGATGACCGGGTGGGCCTCGTACTCGTGTGGAATCCTATTCGTATCATCCGTTCACCACCGTCTGACTGTCTCAGCAAGCGTTGCGGCGCCCGTTTCATATGTTTGTGTTTCAAAAAATCCCGGCTACCACGAAAACGGACGAGAAAAGTCTGTTAACTAGAGTATTTTTTGTTTCCGTATTTGGTCATCGAAAACGGAAACCACGCCGAAGGGTTGACGGGACGCATAATACTAAGGATAATTTTCAAGTTAACCTTACATTTCTTGATGCGCCAAGGCCTTGTCATTCATTTATATGGAGGCATCAATGATGAAAAAGAGTCTAAATAATATTAGCATTTTTTGAATCGCCGCCGGTGCCTAAGGACGTATTGTACCCGATGTGTGAACGTCGGTACAAAATTCTACACATGGATGTGGATATGAGTAAAAGATTTTGCCTACCGGCGCTTTTTAGCTGTTAGTTGATATTCTAGTGATAATATAAATTGTGGGTGAGCGTATCCACGTGTATTGTAACCTGACGAGAGCGAACGTAAGTACAAAATCTTACATGCGGATATAGACATGGATATGAAATTTTAACCGATATGCAATTTGCTATGCATGAGTATTTACACTATCCGCACCTACACTCGACGTTACCTAGGTATATCCTAGCAGGAACGGGATTGAGATAGCTAGGAACAAAAAATGAAAATGGGACATTTGAGAATACTAAAAGTCTGAAAGAAACAAATACAGATGAAAACCGAAAGATCTAAGCTAATATCATGAGTCATGACATAGCTTATAGTGTACCAACTCTATATGTTAAAAGTTAAATGTGTCTCATGAGTTTCCTGGTGCTCCTCAGGATGATCTTATGTTTTTAATTATTATATAAATACCTAGTTTCCATAACAGATGCTAAAACTCATCTCGAATTCATAAATACAAGATGAATATAGGTCTATTTTGACTAAAAATGATCCTACAACACCAAGAAAATACCCCTCGTCTCATTTCTGTATTTTTTCTAAATACGGAAACGGATAGTCGAGAAAAAGGTTTACTAGGAGTACACTAGTACTACTAGCACTCCATGAGCACTGCAATGGATTTATCGTTAGCCAAAAGTCAAAACTGCCCATGTCCATCTATCCATTCGATACCGAGAGACCCCGAGATCACGTTATAAAAGCAGCCCAATCCCCCAGAAGGAAACACACACACGACCCCAAAAGAACCAAAAAAAAAATCCATTTTGATTGATTGATATCCTATAGTTTAGTGAGCGTTCAAACTCAAACCCACAGCAAGCACACCCCTCGCCAGTCGCCACGCTCTTGTCCGCACTCTCCTCGCCGAGAGTGTGAGCCAAGCCGCCTCTCGCCCACTCTTCTCCTCCCCCCTCCGCCCCACCGCCGCCGCGCCCGAGAAAAGAGAACCCCAATGCGCCTCCTCCAGCTGCTCCTGCTCCTGGCCGTCGCCGCGGGCGCGGCCGGCGCGGCGGGCAGCGGCACGGACACGGACGCGGACGCGCTGCTCGCCGCGAAGGCGGCGCTCTCCGACCCCACCGGCGCGCTCGCGTCCTGGGACGCCGCCTCCTCCGACCACTGCACGTGGGCGGGGGTCACCTGCGCGCCCCGGGGCTCCGGCGGCGTGGTCGTTGGGCTCGACGTCTCCGGGCTCAACCTGTCCGGCGCGCTCCCGCCGGCGCTGTCGCGGCTCCGCGGCCTGCAGCGCCTCTCCGTCGCCGCCAACGGCTTCTACGGGCCCATCCCGCGGTCGCTCGCGCGCCTACAGCTCCTCGTCCACCTCAACCTCTCCAACAACGCCTTCAACAGCTCCTTCCCGCCTGCGCTCGCGCGGCTCCGCGCGCTCCGGGTGCTCGACCTCTACAACAACAACCTCACCAGCGCCACGCTGCCGCTCGAGGTCACGCACATGACCATGCTCCGCCACCTGCACCTCGGCGGCAACTTCTTCTCCGGGGAAATACCGCCGGAGTACGGCCGGTGGCCCAGGCTGCAGTACCTTGCGGTCTCCGGGAACGAGCTCTCCGGCAAGATACCGCCCGAGCTGGGGAACCTCACCAGCCTCAGGGAGCTCTACATTGGCTACTACAACAGTTACACCGGTGGTCTTCCCCGGAGCTGGGGAACCTGACCGAGCTCGTCCGCATCGACGCCGCCAACTGTGGGCTCTCCGGCGAAATCCGCCGGAGCTCGGGAGGCTGCAGAATCTGGATACGCTCTTCTTGCAGGTGAACGGCCTCACCGGCAGCATACCCTCGGAGCTGGGCTACCTCAAGAGCCTCAGTTCTTTGGACCTGTCGAACAATGCGCTCACCGGTGAGATACCGGCGAGTTTCTCCGAGCTCAAGAACCTGACGCTGCTCAACCTGTTCCGGAACAAGCTGCGCGGCGACATCCCCGACTTCGTCGGCGACCTGCCAGCCTCGAGGTGCTGCAGCTGTGGAGAACAACTTCACCGGCGGTGTGCCACGCAGCCTCGGCCGCAACGGCCGCCTCCAGCTGCTCGACCTCTCGTCGAACAAGCTCACCGGCACGCTGCCGCCGGAGCTCTGCGCCGGGGGCAACCTGCAGACGCTCATCGCGCTCGGCAACTTCTTGTTCGGTGCCGTCCCAGACTCACTCGGCCAGTGCAAGTCCTTGAGCCGTGTCCGTCTCGGGGAGAACTACTTGAATGGCTCAATTCGAAGGGGCTATTCGAATTGCCGAAGCTGACTCAAGTTGAGTTGCAAGATAACCTCCTCACTGGTAATTTCCCGGCTGTGATCGGTGCTGCGGCTCCTAACCTTGGCGAGATCAGCCTGTCCAACAACCAGCTTACGGGAGCATTGCCTGCATCTCTTGGGAACTTCTCTGGTGTTCAGAAGCTGCTGCTTGATCAGAACGCGTTCTCTGGTGCCATACCTCCGGAGATTGGGCGGCTGCAGCAGCTCTCCAAGGCTGACCTTAGCAGCAACAAGTTTGAGGAGGTGTGCCACCGGAGATTGGGAAATGCCGGCTTCTCACTTACTTGGACATGAGCCAAAACAACCTCTCTGGGAAGATACCTCCGGCCATCTCTGGAATGCGAATACTGAACTACCTCAACCTGTCCAGGAACCACCTTGATGGAGAGATACCTCCATCCATTGCAACGATGCAGAGCTTGACGGCGGTCGACTTCTCTTATAACAACTTGTCTGGGCTTGTGCCAGGGACTGGCCAGTTCAGCTACTTCAATGCCACATCTTTCGTTGGCAACCCAGGCCTGTGTGGACCATACCTCGGTCCATGCAGCGCAGGCATCGCTGGCACCGACCACACTGCCCATGGCCATGGTGGGCTGAGCAATACGGTCAAGCTGCTCATTGTCCTTGGCTTGTTGATTTGCTCCATTGCATTTGCTGCTGTGGCAATTCTGAAGGCTCGGTCATTGAAGAAAGCTAGTGAAGCGCGAGTATGGAAACTCACTGCATTCCAGCGCCTGGACTTCACCAGTGATGATGTGCTGGATTGCTTGAAAGAGGAGAACATTATTGGCAAAGGTGGTGCTGGGATTGTGTATAAGGGGGCAATGCCGAATGGTGAACTTGTAGCTGTGAAGAGACTCCCAGCAATGGGCCGTGGCTCATCACATGATCATGGATTCTCAGCAGAGATACAAACACTTGGTCGAATTCGACACCGTCATATTGTGCGCCTTCTAGGCTTCTGCTCAAACAATGAGACTAATCTGCTGGTTTATGAGTATATGCCCAATGGCAGCCTTGGGGAGATGCTCCATGGCAAGAAAGGGGGGCACCTGCACTGGAATACCCGATACAACATTGCTATTGAGGCAGCCAAGGGGCTTTGCTACTTGCACCATGATTGTTCACCTTTGATACTTCACCGGGATGTCAAGTCAAATAACATACTTCTTGACTCCAACTTTGAAGCTCATGTGGCCGACTTTGGGCTAGCAAAATTCTTGCAGGATTCTGGGGCATCTGAATGCATGTCCGCCATCGCAGGCTCATATGGCTACATAGCGCCAGGTAAAAATCAACCCTTCCTGATCCAGTTCAATATGAATAGAGTACTCATCTGAATATATCGAGACACATCATAAGTTTAGAATGCTTATAGTTATTACATTGTTCAAGCTATAAAATTATGTCTCTAAAGCTATAAAACTTCATTGTTATACTGTTTGATGAGTATTGGTGCTTATCTACGTGGTTTCTGTTATAATATTCTCTCTACTAGTTCTCTTAGCCTTTAACATTTACTGACGATCAGTTACTTCATTGTTGTATCTTCTGTTGAAACTTTATTATGTCTGTTTACACGTTCAGGATCGTAATGTTCAATGGTTTTTTATGTGTATCTTCTGTTGTATTTCTCTTTACATCTGCGTCATTGCTTTTGGTTTACAAAATGGCTGACTACTAAATTTTATTTTCCAATTGATTGACCTTGCTCTTCGTTGTCATCCGTGGCTATCCAGAATATGCATACACACTGAAGGTCGATGAGAAGAGTGATGTCTATAGCTTTGGTGTTGTGCTTCTTGAGCTTGTCACTGGAAGGAAGCCTGTAGGTGAGTTTGGCGATGGTGTTGACATTGTCCAATGGGCAAAGATGATGACAGACTCAAGCAAAGAACAAGTGATGAAGATCCTGGACCCAAGGCTCTCAACTGTGCCGCTGCACGAGGTGATGCATGTCTTCTATGTTGCATTGCTCTGCACTGAGGAGCAAAGTGTGCAGCGCCCGACGATGAGGGAGGTTGTGCAGATCCTAAGTGAGCTTCCAAAGCCATCTACCAAGCAAGGAGAGGAGGTTCCAAATTCCGGTGACGGTTCTGCATCCAGTCCTCTACATCCAGCACCAGTTGGGACCAATGAAGCACCAACCGTCGAAGCGAGAGATCAGCAGCAGCAAACAAGCTCTCCGTCATCGCCACCTCCAGATCTCATCAGCATCTGAGTCACCGAAATTGAAAACGTTACCATTCCTTGCAAAATCCGTGCTTTGATCTCTCAAGCTTAGGTCGTAATTTAGGATGCAGTAAGTTTGGCCTCCTGTGCTGTACATATTCAAGTTTGTGGTTGGTTGTTTCCAGTTTGCCATGTTTTCATTTGCTGCTGCAATGTAGTAGGAGTCTGTAGCGAGTTGAGTTACATTGCTAGAGCCTTTGATTTCCCTTCTCTAATATTGTAGTAGGCACTGAAGTATCAAGTGCACTCTGTCAAATTTAGCGCCAGAATCTTTGTTATGGAACCAAGATCTTTAAGTTCTTTCTGCTTCTGTGTAAACACTGGAGGTGGGCCATAACCAAAGGCCTTGAAGTCAGATCTTAAGCTGCATTGGTCCCAAAGAGAGAGCCTGTTTGCAAGATGAATTGATAGATACCCTACCAGAGCATCTGATTGCTGCTTTCTCTCACTTTTTTTTATCGTCTTTTGTTGTTGCACAAAAGAAGTTGATCTGTATATCTCTTCAAAGCAGACGGCTGGGCCAGAATTTCAAAGGGAGTGCACGAAAGAAACGGCTCGGTAAGCAGATGATTTGCCCTCTGCGTAACGTCAACAGCAGCTGCAGATCAGCAGTTAGCAGATGCTTCCGTCCGTGTTAAGTGAAAGCGAGTGGAGCATTGTTCAAAGATAACGAACCTGATCACCTCGTCAAGTACTGCTGTACCAGTGCACTAGCTTACTGAGATGATGCAACTAGTTCGTACATAGGTCTGTCCATATCCTATTGTTAGGTGATCAAGAGTGACTATCAGGTTCAGGAATCAAATGTTCAGCACGACAAATTGCAAAATAAACACCCTTCTCTTCTCACTCTCACCACGCATTCATTCAATTGCAGTAATGGCTAATGATCTTCTGAAAGAAAAGAAAAAAACTTTGTTCAATCGTTGTTTTTTAAAGACGCACACAACACACACATAAAGCAGATGACAAAAGGCAACCGAAAAAAGAATTCTTTGCAAAGAAAAAGTAAGGAAAATAAAGAGAGAGAGAGAGAGAGAAGGGAATCATCTGATCTGAACAATGGCCCCTCCTGCGATTTCTGCGTGCACTGTCGCTGTTCCTCCAGAGCAGTGTAGGCCCTGGTTTTGGCTAAGTGGTTGGGCTACCTCATTGAGAAAAGAAAGAAGGCCCGCCAAGCCGGCAAGCCCCCTACCACCACGTGAGCGCGAAAGCCGCGCTCGTCGTGTCGTCCCTGCCGCCGGGGTGGACAGGACAGGGGCAACGCTTCCTTCGCCCTCACTTCACCGGGTCCGGTTTGATCGGTGCCATGCCGTTGCTCTGTCCAAAACACAGCTAGTTAGGACCACGACCTTCTCCCCGGGCAGCAGCAGCAGCAGCACACTACTAACTGCTGCCTCAGAATCTGAAAAGAATTTGAGAGGGGTGCAAATGGCGAGATCAGTGCAGCACATGGGACTCTTCGGAGTTGGTGTGTGTTCAAAATGCTTCAGCTCAGCGTTAATGCAGGGATCCAAGGCAGTGTTGGTGTGTATAGTTTGGGCTCTCCAGGACTGATGGGCAGTTCAGAGCTCCTTATGAATCCGGCAATCCCCATGACCGACCATGAATCGAGTGTGAAGCTGTTTTATTAGTGCGTGGATGGAGAAGACAAGGAGCAGGAAAAAGCGAAATGTTTTGGCAGGAAGCTGGAAGTGGTGGAAAGTGGTAACTGTGGCTTTTGTACCTGTGGTAAACGGCTGTGCGGTAAACAGTGAAAGGGCAGGTTGGGTGTTTGGTCTGATGCCATCCATGGACCATGGTACCTCTGACTGGCCACCACCCAAAGGCCACAGCCCACAGGTGAAGCTGGAGCACTGTTGCGTCGAAATAAAGGGCCTGTTCGCTTATCTGAATTCTGGAGGAATCTGGATGGTTTGGAGGAATACTGGAGGAATTTGTGAGAGGAAAACACTGTTCCGGATGAAAAAATAAGCGAATCAAGCCAGGTTTAAGGGCACGCGAACGGGGTAAAAATGGTAGCTTCTTGCTCCACGGGAGACCAACCAAAGCAAGCTCCCCTCGGAGGCATGAGAGGTTTTGATCGTTCCTGTAGATATACAGCGGTTAAAAGAATTAATCATCGGTGATTCATGATTGGATTGCAAAAAAATGCAAAGAGTTTTGCTCTAGTGGTCCTCTCAAAAAACTAAAATTAAAGGGAGTGGTCAGCAGCGGCGTAACTGCTCCTCTTATGACTAGCTCCATCCATCCATCCAAAAATAAACGTATTTCTCACTTTTCGATAAATCAAATATTTTTAAGTTTAATTAAATATATAAAAATATTAACATTATGATATCATATAAATATTATTAGATTAATCATATCGAAATAAATATATAATAATTTTAACAAATTTAATTAAAGTTAAGAAAAATTAACCTAATCTAAATCTAAAACTTACATTTTTTTAATACATATAGAGAGGGGGTAATATACAATACTCTACTCCTATAATGTCATTACTCCGGTGTTTTGATTGGGGCAATCCAGGAACAGCGAGGCCAGGTTCAGAGGCTCTGAAACCTGATGGGGATGGACGTCGACCGTTGCTGTCACCCGTTCGACGTTCGTACAGGGGCAGACGAGAGCTTCCGCGCCAGAAAAAGCCATGCCTGCAGCCCTGCACCCGTCCCCGTCTTGTGAAGTTGTGGGTACGCGCGTGTTCAGAGTTCCTGATCGTCTGACGGACGACGACGCAGATGCACTGATGCGATAGTCACCCTGTTGGCTTGAGCTTATAAACCATACTTTTTTAGTCAACGAATAATATTTTTCTTTTATCATAAATTAGCCATCAGTACTTTCAATCATGGCTTATCAGCTAAATAAACAGGCTAAGTAGTGGCGAGCCTGAGTGCCTGACGAAGGGTCGGTCAGTAGCTCAGTGCTTTCTGGCTACTGGCTCCCTGACCGCGCCCACATGCATGCCGTAGGCGCAGTGGTGAGCCGCGCCGGTGATGGAGGTGATGAGCCGAGCCAGGCATGATTGCCTTGCCGTTGTCACAGGGGAGCGGAGGCAGGCAGCATCATCGCGCGGATGGGCTGGTACCAGGCCATTTTTCGTGGGGATGGACGGGAAGGACGGGGGCAAAATCGTACGAGCAAATGTGATGAAGGCATGCGGATCGGATCCGGAACGGCGCCTGTTCGGCTGGCTGGTTTGTATCGTTGCTGATTTGTTTATGTGAGAGAGAAGTACTGCTGACTGGTTCAGATGAACAATGTTCATATGAGAAGGCTGGTCAGCCCAGCCAGCCAGCCGCCCCCAGCCGAACGGGCTGAAAGATAGCCAGGCAGGAGCAGGGTGCGAGTTGGTCAGACTGATGATCACCGGGCAGGGCACCGGGCGCTGGACCTGTTTGCAAGTTGCGACGCGGGTCAAAAAGTCGACCAATCTCGATCTCCTTCTCCCGTGCACACCAGCAGCGATCAGCGTGAGTGTCAGGGCGAAAGCGAGCGCAGCGCAGTTGTGGGCTTCCGTTCCGTGCCAGCAAGGAAAGCCATGCATGCCGTTCCCGACTCCCCGTTGGCGTTCGTGGATGGAACCGTGGTGGTGTCAGGTTGATGCCCCTGCCCGCCTGCGTGCGTGCGCTCTGGTCGCCTGACCGATCGACGACGCAGCAGCAGTGCTCGTGGCCCTGGCGCGGCCGGGGTCAATGCTAGCTTTCACCCGCTCCGTCTGGCTGCCGCTGCGATAGTGGGCTAGCAGAGCACTCGGCGTCTCCGCCCCGGACACCGGGGAGCGACGACGAAGCCAATAATGATTGCCGATGCCAGCCACCGGGGAGCGCCGGAACGGCATCATCATCGTCGGACCGGAAGAGAAACGTGAAGGCTGAGCAGGCGAACGGCAAAGCCGATCGACTCCGGAGGCAAGTTGCTCGAAAGATCGGGCTGGCATGTATGGGTGGGACTGATGGAGAGACACCACCAACCCTCGCAAAATTCCTGTATCCACATCCACCACAAAGCGTAAAAAGTGCACGCACCACCGAAAAAACGGAACAGGACCGTGGGGGAGGATTCTGCAGCGTTTACAGCCCAGCCTTTGGACGATCCTTTGGTGACAAAGACAAGGTCAACCAATATGTCTCTTCTCACATGCACGCACACACTCCCCTGGTCCATCTCTACCGGAACTGGACCCCGACCCCCGTCCAAACGGATTTATTATGGCTTCCAGAGACCGGCCCCGCCGCCGTCCCGACGATGCGATTGCGAGGCCGCACACATGCACTACGGCTACGAGATGAACGCAACGCGACATGAGGGCGGGTGTGCGTGGGTGGTCCGCGGCCACGACGCGCGACGACCTGCCGCGCGAAGATCGAGCGGCGGCAGTGAACGCAGGTCAAACTGTTACAAGGCCCCCGGTCCGGTCCGGAGCAGTTTGTGTTAGGGAAGGGAGGGAATTCATGTGTCGTGTCGGTTGGGTGTTCCTGTCATCCTGTGTGTGTGACTGTGAGGTGGATGCGGCGTGAGTGCGAGCAGTTGAGCTGAACAAGCTTTCCCCGCTGCCGGGAGGGACCATATGGATATGGATCTGCTTGCTTCATCATGCATGGCAGCGACAGCATGCAAGTCGCACGACAAGGGGCACGCCAGACGCCCGTGCTGCAAGGACTGGCCTATTGGGCGATGGCTCTTCACTCTTCAGCGCACAAGCATTATTCAAGTAGGCAGGCGTGTAGTCTTCTGAAAGTAGGAGTGCTTCCTGCCATGCCCATTAGTCTGACTGCCTGAGAGAGGAGTCTTTATGGACGCGACTTTTCTCCTCTACTTTTGCATTCGATCGCGGGCCGGTCTGAGCTTTTAATCCTGTGGTATTCGGTTTGGGACAGTACACAGTAGCTTATGTATTGTATCAACGTAGGAGTACATCACATGGAAATGTTTAGTGGAAACGTGTAGTGTACAGTATATATATACCCTTGTACACCGAGG